ATATAAAGAATATAAATAGCATCTAAATGTTAGAAAGCCTAATTAAATACCACAAATTATAGAAAGCAGCAAGTTGCAGTAAAAATGAATAAAATGTTGCTAAAAATATTATATTAAGTTATTCTATTGATCCAACCTATTTATTTAATTACTGCCAATAGTTAGATAGTAGTTTCAATAACGAACATTGCCTACACTGTGTTGACCTGACTGTCAAATGCATTCACCTGTCTAAAACGCCCACCCAACTGACAACTTTAGTTTAATTGTAATGCAGGGGTGCTTAATGGGGATTCACAGCCGCTCAAAAGTGTTTGTGAATACTTACCACTTGTTGTGTATAACATCGAGAATAAAGAATTGATATGGGATGTTTAAATTTTAAATTTAGTCAACCATAGGTTCTAATGTATATGGAGCCCGGTCAGTGTATGTCATCTATCTAGACACTGTAAGATTATACAATGAAGTACATTTAAGTTACAATTTTAACTTGCCTAATAATGCTTGTTTGACTAAAAATACATTTACTACACTTCTGACTTCATTTAATTTCCATACCTGCAGCCGTTTTCTGTTCATAATCACTTTCTAGAAAGTGAAAATAGCAAACAACACTGTTGCCAGTGGGCGTCCACCGCGGTTTGTTGGCCCATGCGGCAGAGACATCTTATGGCCATTGGAGGCATAATGGCGCTAATTTCAAAGTCCCCCATTAACATAGTAAATACTACCTTTTAATTGAAACATCTAATTCCTTTATGAGTTGCATACATATTAATATATTTTGGTTAATGAAATCAAATTTGAATTCAATAACTACACAGCCAGTCCTGTTTGTGTTAAAAGTAATAACTACCTATGATGTTAAAACTGTAATTGTAACTTGATTGTGTAACAAACAAGTGTGTACAAATTTATTTTTTTATAGTAATAGCTCTTGAACCGAAACTTTTTAATACGAATACATGCTACATTTTGTTGAATGATTGATGTATATAAAGTATCAGAAATAGTAGCCCTTGTGAAATTGGGTGATTGAAAATGAACAAGTTTTGTATAAACCACGCAGTTTTTACCTTTCAAGAGGTCACTAATTTGATTTAAATATTAAGAAATCTAGATGTTAAATTGAAATAAAATAAGAAAAGTACTGTAGAAATAAAAAAAATTGTCATAGTTTTAATTTAGTTCTAGTTTTTCTGGGAAGTATATTAAAGTTTTAAACTTGGTAACTTATTAAGTATTTTACCAGTTAACTTGGGAGTGGAATGCTGTTGTTTATTTTATTTAGATGCTAAGACAATCATGCTAGTAAAATAAGTGTAGGTCATTCCCATTGTATTTTAAAGCATATAAGTGTTGTACTTTAAGAATATGGTAACATTTTCAGACAGCTAATTTTTAGATAGTACTTAAGATAAAAATGTCTGATTTTTAAATTCATAAACATAGAATGTACAAAAAATACCCGAACTATGATTTGCTCTCTCCATATGCATACCATTTCATAAAGCTGTAAAATATAATAAATTGAATGAGAACTGTTACATATTTACAAGATGATTGTTTGTTTTAAGAACACCATTAGTGAAACTTAATTTTAATTGAGAAAGATTATGCTCTCGAAGCTTAGCAGATGTTGATTCTTTGTTTGTATATGTATTTGTGTGTTATAAGATTCTATAGAAAGTAATGGAAATCTTATTATACCCAATTCTTCACTATCTTCTTTAATTGCCAGGGTAAATAAAAGGTCAAGATTATTATTTTGGGCAGTTCTTTACTTAATGATCAGGATTAGTGTGTGAGTAATAACAAGGCTTAAATTAATTCTGCGATGAAATTGTGAGTATTAATCTGTAATTAATTTGTACTTACCTCATATTACATCACATTCAATTCAGTTAATTGTGAATGTTTTCATTTTCCCTTTTTTGTTATTGGTTAGATCATAAACTGTGGCATTTTTGATGTTGGACATCTTTTATTACATTAAAGATAAAGAAAGTAGTCTGAAAATAACAAAACATTAACTTTCAGTCTGCTGGTGATAGTTTATAAATATGATGAAAGCTTTTAAAGGTAAGATATCTGAAAATGAAAGATATGTGGAGAAAAAAAAAGTGCTAAATATGTAAATATTACTTAGCTTCATAAGTAAAAAGAATAAGTAGCTACATTGTTGGGTTATGAATGCAAAACATGAAAGTAACTTGTTCATGAATGTACAAAATTCAACAAACACTAAATTAATCCAATAGGGATTGAACAAGAAACCAGTTTTTCATGTTTACTGTAATGTATGTATGTATTTAGCAATGTGTTTCTTAATTCAGTTTTTATTTAACTTTGTATTTTCCTTTATTGATATTTTATGTATAAGTTTTGGAGGACTACTTTTTAAAGTCTACATGGAACCATAAGATTGTAAGTACTGTCATAATTTTTTTGTTTTGCAACTTTTTGTTGTTAGTGTTGAAGCTTGTTGGTTAGAAAACTGGGGAACAATTGTTGTTTAAATATTAGAAACCTATTTTCACTTTATGAAAAAATGACACTTGGTAATCTTTAACCAGTTTTGTGTTAATGTAATAAGTATTGAAAGTACTTGTGGAATTTCCATGATAAATTTTCTTTATGGGTATTTAAACAAAGGAATATGGATTTTCTTTGGTGTTGTGTACTTGTAAATATATATAACCTTCAGTTTTGGCTAAAGTTCAAGACTTAATATTAATTTAAGCTGCATAATAAACCACTGTTCATTTAGTATTGTTTTTTTACTAATGTTGAGTAGTTTAAGTATTCAACAATTATGAAGTGAAACACAAGGTATTGAACATGTTTAGATATAATCAGGTACCAGTTGGATGAATGATTGTGACACTTCTTTTTTTATAAATTCTATCTTACAGTGTGGTAAATGTAGGAATCTTATGATTTATACTTTGTAATTTTATTTTAATCAAAATATCTCAAAGCATACTTGGAATGGTATAAAAATGTAGAATCATATTTTAGCACATCTGAAAAATGTGAGGCATTAGAAATGGCATTAGGTTTCTGTAAAAATATCTGTGAATCTATCAGATATTTTCTAATTGCTTAGTTAATGTTCAACAAACTTCTGGCTAGTTTTAATGTACAATTAGAAAAGTACTTTCAGCTGTTTGTTGCTGTAGTGTATTTTTTTATTTCCTGTTATTTTTGTAGTGATTATACAGTGCTTTACTTAAAACTAAGTTAAATAAAAGTAATTTCTTTTTGAATATTTTTTTAGTGTTCACATTCTTGTAGTCCTGACTATCCAATAAACTGAATATTAAAGGTATTAGTCCATCCAACATATAATTTCATCATAAATAACTACCATTATCAACTTTTTGGAATAAAATCCTGTAAGAATAGAACTTATGTTGCTTAGTAATGTGGAGTGTGCATCAAATTAAATATTTTCCTGATTTGCTGTGACTCAGTTCAGGGTCCTCACACAACAGGGTCATTTTTACACGTTATTGCAAGATTAATGAGACATTCAACTAATTACTGTAACAAAGGATGGAGTTAAAAGAACACAAACTTTGGAAAATAATGATGGTGGAATGTACAAATATCACACTTAAGATCCTTTACAAAAAGAAGCCAGTCATTACCAATTAAA